AAGCTTCTAGAACATCATATAGCACCGAGCCCGATGTTAAAAAGAAAAACGAGGCGATTATAGCTGCATATTTTTTTTATAAATAAAAAGCTTTTGTGTGAATGGTCATTGAAATAATGGTAAATCATTGATAACACTATAAGTTGTGAATATATTTATTCATGTATGTACATGTATACGTAGTAGGTTTTCCTAATAAATTTATCGGTAAAATGTGTATATATTCGATACGGAGAGCTTCGTGGAAGCGAACCCGAAGTACAATTTGTACTTCCTTATAAACTTGCTTACATGAAAAGAGAAAATTAATGAAGAAGGTATTGTTCAAATACAATTAAAAATGTAAAATTTTGTGCTTTAATCAATACATTTGTTTTTTTTTTTTCTTCAGAATACTGTCTTTTGTATCAAATACTCTGCCTTTTCATAGGGCGTTACAACCTAATTTTTACACAAGTACTTGGGTATTGGTTTATATATATGTATGTACTTTATTGATATGTAAAAAAAAAAAGTAAAGTACATTTTTTACATATCAATAAGGTACAAACATATTTATAAACCAGGACCGAAGTACCTATGAATTTTAACCCCCCCCCCCCAAAAAAATCAATTTATCAGTAAAATGTGCTTATTTGCTGCTTTTATCCTTGACGGAAATGGAATAAGAGCATCTGAAGCACAATATCCATAACGTAGTATAACAGGTTTCACAATGAACAGAAAAACGTAAAAGTTTTTACAAAAGAGGGGGTTGGTGGAGACGTACATCAACTTCATGCGGGATTTTGAACAAAGTCCTGCTATAAGCCTGTAAGCTGTCAGTAGAAACTACAATATATTTTCTGTCAGTAGTGGTATAAATTCAATTCCTCGCGCTTGCGCGGGATTTCATCTAGTTGTTATAGAAAAAAAAGTATATCTACTACACTAATGTAATAATCATATCCTTCTGATAAGAGAGATTACTTCAGAAGAAAAAAATATTCGAAATTCGTTGACTTATATTTTCTTTTGCTAATATGTTTGATAGTTATTTATAGTTTTCTAACTTAAACATATGCATCCAGATTGTTTTCCTTTTTTAAATTTTAAAACATGTATTTTTTATTATAAAAACTAAAAAAGTTGTATAATTTACAGTGTGCTATATAGAGTATTTTTATAAGAAGTATATTTTTTCTTGCTGACATAACTCTTGCTGGTGGACACATTTTTTTTTACAAGTGTGATGAATCTGGGTTGTACCAATCAATGTTAATAGGGTAGTAAGGGTTTTTGACATGGAATAACCTGTCTCCCCTACCATGAAATAGACTAGTCCAATGCTATATATATAGCGGGTGTTGGCAGCTTCGGTCAGTCTATTTGGAGTTAGTTTGCTGTAGCTGCAGAGTAGTTGCCAGGTAAGGGTAAAGAAATAAGTGAGGTCGCTGAATAAGCCGAATCACAATAGAAGGTTACTATAGGGCAGGATAAGCATTATTTAATAGGTTGCGTCAACTGGTCGACCACCGTAGCTTTGGCATTGGAAATAAAGGCTGAATAAGTCTGTACTCTAATGTCAAAGTGAGCTGGAGACGCCAGTTGACTAGAGACCTCTTGTCCGTAACCAGGACTATTGGTTGGGCCAGTTGTCCGGGGACATTGGTTAAGGGTAGGACAGGTGGTCCAGAGTCAAATTGTCCCTTGATTTCTTTAAGATTAGTTATGCGAATCATAGTAAAAATTTTGATTAAATTGTTTAAATAATAATCGTAAATATATTGATTAAGTTTGAGTCCTAGTGGACCAGATACAGATCATTTGTTTAGGTTATTGCACTGCGGAAATCCCGGGTGTAACCGGGTACGTGTCCACTTCAATATTGAGACCGCTCGGCTGGTAACACGTTACACAAGGATAGATACATAAGATAAACAAACTGATATTCTGACTTCAAAAGCATCGCTTGCTTGTGTTTTCTGATATGAGTTTAATATGTATGACACTAAATATTATTTTTAAATATATCTCATATTTTTTTTATTTTATGTTGTGATTATAATCAGTGCTCTTTCTATTTACCGTATCAAATTTTCTCCATAACATGATTAGACATAAATTCAATTTTGAAAAAAGTAAGCCTCGCTTCATACCTCAACCCTTATTTCGTTTAAATCTAATGCTTTTCTAGTAGACAAATCAATGTCGGGAGTTTTTAAGTTTTTTGATGAAATTTAGAACAAATGGACATTTTGGCCTTAAATCTTTTCTATTAGCTAGTTTCTTCTGGTTACACTAGCTTTCTACTATGCAAATAATGGTGTCAAATTTTGTATAAAAAAAAAAAAAAAAAAAAGACTGTTTTAAGCAAAAACTGGTACTGAAACATCATATTTTCATTGTTAAAAACCTTAACTATAGATTATTTAAATTAGAACATTGTTTTGATGAGTATATGACCCACCTTCCGAAATATTTCAATCAAAGTACTGAAAGTACCGAAAAACGGTTAGCATGTTCCCATTGGGATTTTACATCAAAATTCTTCGTTCAAAATGATGGTATTAAAATACTGTAGAGTTCATGTGTCCATGACCTCAGACAAGAAGCAGAAATACTTAACATTGCAGCATCCTACTAAATCACAAAACCAACAACGTCACCTCCTATGAACACGAAGCCATCAATTTTCTTATCAATTGATGTCATAAACGCATGTTTAAAAAAATTAAATCGTAATTAATTTCCTTTGAAATACAAGAAAAGCAATTTTTGGAATTAATTTCCAGTGGCGACCAAAGTACCGACCACGCAAAAAAGTTGATGATTACACATCTATCTGTCAAGCTCTATGATGATCTCTGACATAAGAAAAAAAATGTGAATTTGGAGAAGATATTAACTTATTGGATCAAAAGAAATACTTTATTCCACCAGTTTTCTACTAAAACAAATTACTAGACTAAAAATCTAAAAGTTTAAATGTTCAAGTTTTAAGTAGAGATTTTGTATTTTCAATTTATTGAGTTCTTCCGTTTAAAATCATATGCTACTACTCTGGAAGACGGACAAGTAAACAAAGTGATCAAGTTTCAAGAAGTATATATACATACTGAGTAATTGTCCCTGCAAACAATTTCAATGTATAAAAAAGTAAATGGAAAAATTTAACATAATTTATTAATCATAAACTCACAGTCTTGCACACTTTATATACAGGTACTAAGTATTGTGCACCTGGTTTTCATGCAATACTCTTTATATCAGAGAAAAGGTGTGTTTATTTCTATTCTTTGTATCTTTAGAAAAATGGAATAAAAAAATATCTATTCAATCTAATTGAAATCAGATTTTCTTAGATCCGCGCCGTATACATTTTGCGCAGATCTAAGATCTTATTTTGATTAGATTGATTTCTTCTGAAAATGAAAAACTCTTTTAAAAGTTGTATATCAAACAATTCTGTAAAAAAGTATTATATATGAGGTCATACTACAAAAAAATTATAGTATTTTTGAAAAAGACATACAAAATTCAAACTTGGTTTTCTGGATTGAAACTAAACTTGTTAAAGAATGATGAACACAATTTTAAGGGAGATATGAATTTAACATAAAATGAACTAACAGAATTCAGTGAACTGGTACCTGTTTTCCACACTCCAGTTTTGAATTAATTTCAGTGTATTTTTTCCCCATTTATTCATTATTGCCACACATTCATAAATCACATTGGATTGCATAAACGAACAAGAAATTTCGAACCAAAATTGAATCCGGATAGATATTGTTTGTTTTTTATATGTTATACAATTTAATTAATATACATGTTGAATGTATGATTTGAATAAATATGTGAGACATAAAAAAAGAAACTAAACTGTTGTCATGTTGTCTAATCCAAAAACCAGTATTTATGAATGTACATATATACTTAGAGACGTTGTTTTCACTTTTTTTTTTCTTAAATGCTTAAAATTAATATTAATTAACAATTTTAACACATTATTTAAAGTAGGTTTACAACCTTCAAATCTTTTTTTATATATTTAATAAGTGTTAAATCAGATTTTAATTGCTTTTCAAATTGAAATCCAAAGAATGTAAAATGGAAATAAAAAAAAGTGAAGTTTATTTTCGGGGTCATTTTTCAACAGCCTTGTATTTTTATCTCGGCACATATTACAACAGCACGTTAAATATTGACCCTGTGGGATATTGTCATTTAAAAACTTATCAAGATTAATTATCAAGATTTTTTTTAACCACTTTTTTTTTTAGATTTCTCACAATTTTCTCAGCTGAATATTTGCATATTTTCAAAGTTCGATGAATTTTAAAAGAGAATGATGCCGACGAAAATTTTCATAAGCTTTCTTAAGTATTGTTTTCATTTACTTTTCTCGGTTTCCCATAAACATTTTCCATAAAATATCATTACCATTAAGTATTTTGATCGTGTCAACAAAAAGCACTCATTTCCTGCGATGACTATAATCGGAAAACAGATTACGGAGCGCTTTGAGGACATAAAGCATTAGCGTATACGCTAACCGCTTACAAACATGAAAAAGAATATGAGTAATGTACATGTGACAACCAAAAAAGATCGTTTTGAGGGTGTTGAGAGAGACGATCGAATTTGTATCCCTAGGTAACATTTTCTTGGACTTTCTTTGTAAAGTTCTGTATGAGGAAGAAATTGTCAACCTCAACCCTTTTAGTCAAGTCATAGATTTAATCTGTCACCTGGCAGTGAAACTGTACGTAAATTAACAATAAGAGGAAGATATAAATAGCTCAACATGGTGGTTTACTGAAGTAATAAATTATTAAAAATCTTTAAAGAAGGATAACAATTAATCAATTATTTAAATTTCACAAAGAAAAAGAGAAATAACAGCAGTCTTCTGTTTAAATATGTCCTGATCAAACAAATTAAGCTTTCTCTTATCAAAATAATTGTCGAAACGTTGCATAAAGGTTACATGGAAGTGAAATAATGCTAAGGTTATTTTACTTAAATAAAGAATTTGAATACTGGATAACTTCTTCTTCGACCGATTCTATAAATCCTTGCCGTCGATTTTGCACTCTTTCAACAATTCTTCTAGATTTGTTTCCATTTTGTTCTATCATAGAGAGTCGTGATTCTAGAAGTTTCCTCTTATTTTTCTCTGGCAACATGCTGTAATACTCATTTTGCATATATCGTGTAAGTTTATATGGAATTAATGTCTGAAAACATTCACCGTATAGTTCCTTCAAGTTGTACTCGCTACCATAGTACAGACACTTCACAAGGTATTTGACGTCACTCTCAACATTTAAGTGATGGAAAGGTACTTTTGCTTTCTTAAACTCGAGCTCTGTCAAGAGCCATGTTTCACATTCCCTTAAAATGCACTTCACATCGTACTCGTGTGCCAGAGGTAAAAGCTCTTCAATATTGCTCTCTGAAAAATTTGCAAGTAATTTTGTTAATACTTCAATTACGATAAAATTTTAAGGCAACGGATTATAAATGTACAATTTATATTTTAAATTCCAGCACATTACCAGTAAGTGTCACATATTCTCTTGGAAAGATGCATCTTAGAAACAAAACAAAACTAGAGTATTCTTTTCCCGGAAGTGGTATTTCTGATGCGTTTTTCTCTTTAAACTCATCAGTAAGCATTTTTCTAAAGACAGGGGACGCTTCCATTAGAACAATTTTAGCCACGTATAACTTCTTTTCCTCGACAATTAACGTAAGGTCCGTCATCTCTGGGTTATATGGAAAGTACTCCTTCTCCTCCTTTTCCTTCTCCAACTCGGCTTCCACGGCCTGTCCCCAATCGAGGAATCCAGTAGATGAAGGTTCAAGCTTTTCCATTTTCGTTGTCAGTGCAAGTAACCTGTTCTTAGAAATAAGAACGAAAGTAGTTTAAATATAAAGGCAAATTATCCTATATTTAAATGGTGAGTCAGCATTAGGGACTTGGCATTTTATCAATTTTATCAGTGAACTAAAAATACGATTAAAATATTTATAAGCACCAGGATTGCAGACTTTCGTGACACTAGGGTGATATCTTTCTATCAAAATCAAGCGTACTGTGAGACAAAAAATTAATCTCGCTTGAAAATCCTACTGCCTTATTTGACATATTTCATTCAATCAAATAAAAACTGCAACCTCAATTTGATGGAATAAAATATACATGTCAGATAGGACACGACTGTGTACACCACTATCCTCTAGCATTTGAAAGGGGTATTTAGCGATGGAAGCTGTGGAATTTCTCCGCACGTTCACTTCGTTCCGTAGTCCGATGTACTTCATGACAAGTCAGCAGTGTAATAATTATATTCAGCGAAGTTAAATACGTCTTCATCAAGCATTATGTTTACATGTACCGTGCCATGAAACAGAACAAAACAGATTATTTATTTCTCATTGAGAGCCCAAAACAGACTAATATGAAATGATAGCTGTAATAAAAGACATGCTGTCCCAATAGATAGAATAACAACTTAAAGGACTTATCGCATGTTTCTAAATTATTTGAAATTAAAAGCATATTACGTTCCTTATGACCACAATTTATGAATTCTGTGTTTTTACTGTGGATAAATCGCGGTAATTAACCAATTATTGACTCAAATGAAAACCCCTGAATTAAAAATCTAAGTTAATTAGATAGCGATCACGTGACCCTGTGACGTCAAAGGCGACAATGGCTGATCAGCTCTTCATTAATCTTACTAAAATATACGCGATACAACCTGAATTTTCTGCGTTGTGGACGACCAAATCACTTATTTTATCGATATAAACTGAACATTCAACCTTATATGTTAGAATTGTCAGCAAGAAAAAATCTGAAAAATCTGTTAACTTTGTAAAAATATACAACATTGCTCACCTTTGATAAATTTGCCCAAAATATTAAGAATTTCCTTGTCTTCAGATTAACCAACAATTTTTTTGTTCATTGTCTGATGCTGAAAAATTTGAATATAATATACATGTACTTAATGATTAAGTACTCTTCGTGCCTTGAGCACATAAATTCTGCACCGAGGACCTACATCTCTGTCTGTCCGCTGGCATTTGCTGCACCATGCCCCAAATCCATCCCCTGATCTTTCGTCCTTTTACCATTGATCGCCGCCATTTCTCGTTTGGTCACCCTCTGTTTCACTTTCGCGGAGGAGTCCATCTTAAGCCTACTAGATATGTCTGATGCTTCCATTCTTAGGACTTGGCCAGTGCATTTCTATCAATTTTCTCTCATCTGGCAAATATGGCAGCCGTTTGTGTTTTCTATATACATGTACTCGTTGCTCATCTTGTTCAGCAAGAATACTTGAGTTAGCATCTTGTTTGGAATGTGTCTAGTTTCTGTCATCTTCTAGGACTCTGTACCACAAAGGAGGGTTCCAATAACATTTGCTCTAAAAATCCTTATTTTGGTTTTGGTTCTGAATAATAATTGAAGACTTCCAGATGTTCTATAGGTCAATTGGTTATTATGTTATTTGGATATTTGTTTAAAATAATTGAAATTGAAATAATTGAAAGGTTCAATTCAACAATTGATTAATACATTTTATGAATATGCTTATGTCGTATCTAGAACTGGGAACCCGACAGCATTCCCTTTGGTACCTTAAACTGAGCAACGAAAGGCTGTAAAGTTTAACGTATATCTTGGAAGGGCAGGCTAGGGCTCATGTATTGCCTAAACTGGCTAAATCAATTTTCTTATCTAAAGTAACAACAATTGCTTTGTTTATAGGTAAGGAATTAGGCAGGTCCGATTTGTCACTCAGAAAGAGGTTGTTTTGGCTAGGGATAAGGCTTGGATTAAGGCTTGATTTTTTGCAGGTGATAGGGAAAGTAATTTGTATGGTGGTTTCTCAGGAAATGAAGTTTTTTGGGTTCAGGTTTAAATTTGGTATTCCAGCTTACATTCGGTAAAATTTTCAGGGGTGAGAAGGGTAAGAATAATTCTTTTGTAAAAAAAATATGTGAAGACTAAGTGCTTTGCTCAGTCAAAGGTTTGTTGGACTATTTCTTATTTGCAAATAAAATTGAAGGTTGATTTGTCCAAGGGATATTTATTTAGAATAGTGTCAGAAAACGGAGTGGTTTTGGATAAAAACATTAGCTATTCTGTGGTTTATGAGAGGCTGTTTTACTATCTCTTCACCTTAGATATTTACGGGGTTGAGACGCTGTACAGCTTAAAATCTGCCTGTGGAATCACAATGGCTTTATCTGGTTCAGCTGACAATGCAGATCAAGTGATGAGACATATAGGTTGGTTGGGCAAATCAAGTGAGGAGTACTATAGTAAAATACATACAATGATTGATTCAGGTGTTGTTGCATCAAAATTGGCGGAGTCTGTTTCTCAAGGACGTATAAATGAATCAGATTATGAGGGAAAGGTGGACTTATACTTCTTTACGGAAAGCACTTATTTAATTTGGAATTATAATTCCTCTAAAAGTCATATTTATTTATAAAATACTTAATTTTGTTGATACAAATAATCAGGTTAATTGAATGCAAGGAAAAGGGTGATTGGAAGAATGGAGAGTTTTTTTTTATGCCCGGAACCTAAACATGACCTGAATGCTGATAGATATTAATCACTGGGGATAAGGTAAGAGCCATATTGGTTAAGATCGAAGCGGAAGTACATGTGACGTAGTATTCATTCTTAAGACATACATGCTTGATAGTAGATAATGTACACCGGAGGAATGATGAGGAGAATGAGGATGATCAATGAAGTTTTTTCCACCTACCCTCCCACCCATCTTGTGGATGGGATTCGGAATGTATTTTAGTTTGTGTCTCTATAGTAAATGTGCCTTTTAAGATTGTGATGATGATGATCATGATTATTTCTATGTTAAAATGTACTATAGATGCAGAGTTTGATATCATCCTACAATCATATTTCAATCCTGCAGAGTTTTTATGCCCTAAAATGAAACGTAATCTGAATGGTGGAAGATATTAAACACTGTGGATGGGGTAATTGTAGTGCCGGACGCTTGGCGAAGGAACATTTATCACTACCTATATTAATTGTCTTATGTTTGATACGGCACGGGTGACGAGAATCGAAATAGATTACGAAGAGAATGCCCTTCCACCAGGCTACGAACCAGTGAAAATACCTGTACTGTGTTCTTCAGCTGAGAGTGAAATCAATTTGAAACGGTTTATCTACTCAAATACCGTATATACTCACCTATAAGTCGGTTCGCCGATAAGTCGGTTGTATTTTTTGGAGGGATTTGCTATTGACCGGCTTATAAGTCGGTACAACTTTTCGCCAGAATCAGTTGACAATTTCAAATCAATGATCTGATGTTTTAACCTGGTTTCGATTAATATTTTTTTTAAAAGACGCCGATATTTAATTTTAAATCATTAAGGAAAATACAAAACGCACACTTAAGATAAAAAAGTAATCAAAATATGTAAATACTTGTATTTTATGTATAATTTTGGAATACATTAATGATATAATATATCCAGACCTTGTACAACAATAATCGTGGGAAACTTTTATAACAATTCTATATTTCGCCGTCCAGAAAAATACTTATCTTTTTATGGCTCGCCTATAAGTCGAACATAGAGTTTTGGACCAAAATGTAACTCCCAAATACAGACTTACAGACGAATATATACGGTAAGTGTCTTCGGGTCCAAGTGAGCAATGGATAAAATGTCCTAATGGTTAGCTTGTATGGTACCTATTTCAAAGACGAATATATACGGTAAGTGTCTTCGGGTCCAAGTGAGCAATGGATAAAATTTCCTAATGGTTAGCTTGTATGGTACCTATTTCAATCAAAGTACATGTAATATGGTTAGATAACATCTAAAGTATAATATTTATTCTGTGTTTTTGGTTTGTTGCTGCCGTTTCCTTTTATGTTTTTCAGGATGATGTTATCTCTTGTATTATGTACCATGTAAGCCACAGAAGTTCTTAGTTATGGCTTTGCTTATTGTGCGGTTCGACTCTGTCTGCCGGATTTTGCTTGAAGCACCGCTGCAGGTTGTTATCTTCCAGGGGCTGTGGCCAATAATTGTGCTTCCGTCATTGTGTCATTGTCATTGAACTTTCTACATCATATACTATTGAAAAAGTCGATGTAGACCATTGTGTGTGAACTCATTGTGATCATTGATCTTTGCGTTTCAACTGCACGTTGATAATTTTATTCCTATACAGTATTGTCAGAACTATTGAACAGTCAGTGATCATTGTTTATATTCATTGTATTGTACCATTGAACAGTCATTCATATTTGTTTGCCTTGTGTGATTATTCATTTCACATCTTATCATAAAGTAAAGCCATGACAAAAACTGCCAAATTATTGTTGCTTTATTCTATCGAAATAACATCTAAAGTATAATATTTATTTTACTTTTCAGCCTCTTAGTTTTGTTTTCTTTTAATTATATTAATTTTATTTACTCCATATTTTGAGAACATTTTTAGAATAAAATATTCACTTAAAAATTGAAAGACCCCAATGTGTCTACATCTATAACTGTACGTTTAGCTCTGAAAATATATTTTGAGTTTAAGGTCTTCTTTCTTTCATTCATGTTTTACTCAGTTCTGAAAGAATCTACATTCCTTGCCCTTAACGGCCGATATATGGCTGAAATACTTCCAATTCTGAGTTTAACAATAATTAGTTAATCAAAGATTCATTGCCGAATTTCAAAAAATTGTTTTCATTGAGAGGTCTTTTTGTAAAAATTTCTTTCATGATTTCTCTTATTGGCATTAATGATAGGTCTTTTAAGTTTTATTCAGCTCGATAGTAGACAATTCTTAGAATATTGAATTAAACGGGTGGTTAATGTTCTGTCGTCCTTAAAGTTTCACATTCCCTCAAAAACCATTTACTCGTAACATTGTAGATTTTTTTATTGACATAATTTATATCATGGCTGCTCGTATTATCGTTTACGGCTTACATCTTTATGGACAAAAAGGCTTACGTGCTATTTCCAGTTTGATTTAAATCAGATTGGTGCTGTTTCTTAAAAAATCACTTTATTAATAAGCTGTAGTTTCATAGGGAGGACCTGTACATGTATCGTTTTGAAAAAAAATTAATTAACTGATAAAATATTTACTTCATAAAAACAAATCTTATTTTTTTTAACCTCCACTCATATAGTGTAATTTTTATGAATTTTGTACATGAAACTTATGTTTACATAGACATTTAAAACAAATATAGATTTTAAAACGTCAGTTCGTCACACATTTCAATAATGCATGATTATTGAGCGATCTAGCAAGCTGATCCTGCATTGCTAGGAGACAGGTTCCGTGTAAATATATACATACCTCTAATTAATAAGAAACAATTTTTATCCATAGGTAGAGTTTTAGAAGCTGTGCAGTTAAAAGATAAAATACCTATGTTTTCTGTTTACATAACGAGTCTAATTAATAATAAGCTTCTTATATGAATAAATCTGCTGAACATAAAAAGACATTTTGTGCAAGGAGTTGATGATGCTGAGGTAACACTTTGTGTTCCGAAAATGAATCCACCTGAGGGTTGCTGGTTTTTCTTCACTGTCCCCTGATTTTTCATTTAATAATGTCACCCTTGTTTCAATAGTTGCTAGTCGTATTTCTATAAGTTATTTTTCTCAGGAAGCATCTTGTAGAATATATTTGTCATATATCTGGTAAGCTTATGTGGAATCATTGTTTGGAAAGTTTTATCATACAATTCTCTCAAGCAGTACTCATTGCCATAATATATACACTTCATAAGGTATTCGACATCATTTTCAACATTTATATAATGGTTCTGTACTTTTGCTTTTTTGAACTCAGTTTCAGTCAAAAGCCATGATTCACATTCCCTTAAAATGCACTTCACATCATACTCGTGTGCTAGTGGTAAAAGCTTTGCAAAACGTTTCTCTGAAAAAAATGTAATATAAACGTTTAATTTCTATTTCATTAAAGTTTAAACCAACAAATAGTGACGAATATTATATTTCTCTCTACTTATACAATATCATGTGTACTTTACCAGAAAGAGTAACATATTCCCTCGGAAAAATACATCTCAGAAACAAAATAAAACTGGAATATTCCTTCCCAGGAAGCTCAACTTCAATTGCGTTTTTCTCTTTAAAGTCGTCAGTAAACATTTTTCGGAATACGGGTGATGCATCCATGAGCACGACTTTGGCCACATGTATCTTTTTTTCTTCCACAACTAAAGTTAAATCTGTCACCTCTGGATCGTAGGGAAAGAAATCCACCTCAGATTCTTCAGATATCGTTGTATCGACAGTACTCCTATTTTGGTTTATCTCCATCTTTTTCACTTCCTTGATAAAGGGAAAGTTAAATCGATATCTACTTCTAACACCGGAAATATTGCAATAAAAGCGCCAGATTCAAAAGCATGACTTAGGAAATCATATCACACCAATGGCTAAGTACATGTATTATGGATGGAAACGGTTAAGCGGTAAAACGATTAATCGGTCGAAAAGATTGTAAATGCTTGCAATTTTCAGAACCGGTTGGTCGATATTTGTTCAGTTTATTTGCTTTTTAAGGACATACGCAACGTAGTTTGAACTTTATTGTCTTTTTCCCTGGAGTTGAAGAGTTCCAATACTTAAAGGAACTGTGTGCTACACTTCTTCTAAAACAAGTTTGGATAAAGAAAACATCTAGAATATGTGTTTAGTAATTTTTGTGTATTTTTCTTTGAATTATACAAGAATTTTCATCAATTGATATCTTTTCAAAACCCCTGGTAATGCATGCTGATTTTTTGTCGACAAACATCTGATGGCACTATAATCTTAAATTAAGAATATCTTGAAAAATTATCAGTAGGTAAGGTACGTTGCGTATGTCCTTAAATACATGTGATCTTTTTTTTTAATTTAAACTCCCTAAGTTATATCTCTTAGGTAGCGTGCTTATCAATAAAATGCTGCAACCGACCAGTCATATTATATAAGTTATATCTCTTAAATAGCGTGTTTAGTAATAAAATGCTGCAATCGACCAGTTATTAAGAGGTCGCCGGTGTCAAAACCAGACACCTTAATTTAGTAACCGTGAATACTTATCAAAGCTTACGTACCCCAGATAAAAAAATCAACCTGTTTTTTTTCTAATTTATGCATTAAAAACAGCATCTAATTTTCTACTCTTCTCTACTTTTCTTGTTTTTACCAATCACTCCGAAACCTTGCAATTCATTTGTTAATTGCCACAACCATGGACAGCTCGGCGATATTTTAAGATAGAACGGGACTGCAAAATTTTATAACTGAGAGTACAAAAAGCCCAAACAACCTTTACACGTCGAACAACTCTCAATTATATCAGGAAAGTGCCTTGCGATTCCCAGAACATCATCTGTACCGTCAGAGCGATTTTTATATCGCCTGCAGAGGAGAGCGGCACTAAGGGATCACTTTACCCGGCGTCTGTCTGTCTGTCTAGCTGTCTTTCCGTCTGTCACACCCTATATCTCGAGAACTGTAAGAAGTATGGATTTGATATTTTTGCACAAATATTGCTTGGAACTATGGTTTTTAGCTTACCTGAGCCGAAGGATCAAGTGAGCTTTTCTGATCACTTTTTGTCCGGCGTCCGTCTGTCTGTCTGTCTGTCCGTCTGTTAGTAAACTTTTATCATTTTCGACTTCTTCTCATAAACCACTGGGATAATTTCAACCAAACTTGCCACAAAGTATAAGGGGTTTAAGTTTGTTCAAATGAAAGGCCACGCCCTCTTTCAAGAGTAGATAATAAAGAATTAGTGAAAAAATAATAGCATTTTTTAAAAATCTTCTCAAGAACCACAGGGCCAGGAAAGATGAAACTCATGTGGAAGCATCCTCAGGTAATAGATAGATTCAAGTTTTTTAAATCATGACCCCTGGGGGTAGGGAAGGGCCACAATGGAGGATCAAAGTTTTACTTAGAAATATATAGGAAAAATCTTTAAAAATCTTCTTCTTAAGAACAGCAAGTCCATGATGAGTCATATTTATATGGAAGCATCCTCAGGTAGTGTAGATTCAAGTTTGTTCAAATCATGACCCCCGGGGGTAGGGCGAGGTCGCAATGGAGGATCAAAGTTTTATATAGAAATATATAGGAAAATATCTTCTTCTCAAGAACTGAAAATCATGTTTAGTCATCTTGATTTGGAAGCATCCTCAGGTAGTTTAAATTCAATTTTGTTCAAATGATGACCCCCAGGGGGTAGGGTGGGGCCCAATAGGGTTTTACATAAAAAAATATAGAAAAAATATTTCTTCTTAAGAACAGAAAAGCTATGTTTTGTCATATTGATACGGAAGCATCCTCAGGTAGTGTAGGTTCAAATTTGTTCAAATGATGACCCCTGGAATAGGGAAAAGCCACAATGGGGGATCAAATTTTTACAAAGGAATATATGGGATTTTTTTTTTTAATCTTCTCAAATACATCAAAGGCTTTTGTTATATTGACATGGAAGCATCATCAGATAGTTTAAATTCAACCCCCCCCCCCCCGGTAATCTTTTCAATACTGAACTGATTTGTGCTTTTGCCTAGCCAATGTGCTCAGGTGAGCGATGTGGCCCATGGGGTTCTTGTTGTAAATTACCATGGTTGCCAACTTGTAACCCTTGTCCTTGACCTACTTTTCAAAATAGTTTATAGTGCTGATACATGTGTATATAGCATATTTATGACACTAAAGATTAAAATCTATGCTATTTAGCACGTGCACTGTTTGTCATAAGACATTAGAAATATGCCAGCATTACAATCCACTTGATTTTGACCTTTGACCTACTTTGCAAAAATACCCCGGACAGTTTTATTTAACTTATAACTTTTAGATTTTGAGATGCAGGATTTTGATAATTTGCATTTATACATGTTTATGAGCTCATGATACGGTACTTTGAAACTGTATGATATTCAGATACAACACAAACTTATATTTAGATACTATGAAAATACATTGGGATCGGTATTCCAAAATGGATCGTGTAGACTGACAATTGCAGTAAAGACAGACTGAAATTTCTCTTGAAGGATTGTGGAAACTCGTATTAACAAAATGATAAATAATTATTTCTAATAATTTCAATTTGATTATTTACTATAGGGTTAGGGAACCATATTTTCTTTGATTGTCATATTCTATCGCGGTCTTATTCTTTCCATGGATGCCATTTTATCTTTGCAGGCAAATGCTTGAACCACCAAGCTAATAGTAAATAAAAAGTTGACCACTCTTACATTTATTTACATCTTTAATGAAACTGCAAAGCATGCGACACAGGGGTTCCTTGGCACACTCTAGTTTTCTTGTGAAGAAGCTGATAAGTGGCACAGTCACCAGCAGATTAAAATATTTCTTTTTAAATAAAATTAACAGTGGAAAAGTTAAATCTATGAATATCGAAAATATAGACTGTCTCTGATTGCTATAAATAGTGAAATATAAATGTTCATGTTAATTAATGAAAAATTAAAGAATTCTTATTATCATAGTTGAGCATTTGTTCACAAGTTGCTTTGTAGGAATAGAGCTTGAGTAATCATTTTGATATTATCTCTTCGATCATACGGTAACTTGGTCGGAATAATTTTACTCCAAATCGGTTACAAAGAATATTCGTCTGCCATCCCTACTAAATATACGCCCGCTACTATTTCGACACACTTTTTTGTAGCGAATATGTAAATCCTCTCTTCTGTAATCCGCCTCAATAAAAAAATGAAAATAGGAATACAAGATGTCATTATTAGAAAAGAAACTTAATATGTGAAAAAAAAATATAAGAAAGGATCCACGATTGAATATCAAATCTAATCTGAAATCATACAGTTTTTATGTTCTAATCTTAAAGAATTTTCATAAATTTATAATTTTATATTGTTTTTTTTTAAATGAATAGAATTGAACAAATCTACTAATATACTAAGGTATTGCTTATATGGTTTCTTTTATTTGTTTGAGAAATTTCTTAATATGCTTAAATATATTTACAGGGTGTTTCTGAATCCTGACACAGAACTTCATGCTATGATAGATGAATAATTTTTGAAACTTCCAACTGAAAGACAAAATACTTGTCAAAACTTTTTTTAAATTCCATCAGTCATAAACAACGTATAAATTATTGAATTTTACATGTTATTTAGTACAATTTTCATCCAATATAGATTAGAGTCAGTATTAAATAAAGACAAGTATTAAACATACTTAATTGTTTTCCTGTATTGTTTATAATATTCTAGGCTACAAATATTTTTTTTCTGTAAACTGTGCCCTCCACGTCAATTGATGAATACTAATTATATGTTATAATGGTTACATTTAAAAGACATATGAAAATGTTACATTGTTCTGGACTTGACATGTATTAGTTGTGTTTTACATGATATGGACAATAAAAATAGCCCTCAAATCGACAGTAACAATAGATATACATGTATAAACATATATAAGGGATGGCAATTAAATATAGATTTGCCAATCGATGTTCAGACCAATTAACCGGGTAATGGTATCAAAATACGCATTTTTATATAGAATTTTCAGGTAAGCTCTATTCATTTACAAAAGACATCAGCAATATTTTGATTATGCTTGATCAGAACACTATATATTTTCAGTCACCATAATCAGAACAAAGTCTGAACTATTAGTTAATTTACAGTTTGTTTAATGATATTATTTGATAGATAAACTGAAAAGGATAGACAATGTACATGTAAGATACACATTATAATCAGTCCACGGTGCTTAGTGGTGATTTATTTAAAATTTACAGGCCCGTAGGAAGCAATTTCAGTTTGGGGGGGCACAGCCAAACATTTTTCAGTTGACAGTTGAGGGGGCACTACCAAAATTTTCTGACAAGCAAAAAAAAAAAAAAAAAAAAAAAGGTCGTCAACTACCAAATATTCCTTGACAAGCAAAAAAAAATTAAAAAAAAAAAAAAAAAAAAAAAGGTCATCAGGCGGTTTTATTGAGGGGGCACATGCTTATAGTATCTATGTTTACTATAGTAATCTATATATCGGCAAAATTATTGGGGGGGCACGGCCCCCCCGTGCCCCCCCCCCCGTTCCTACGGCCATGATTTATAGAAATACAGGAATGGCTTTGTAACGACAGGGTGCTTAAACAGTAACTAACATTTCACAAACTTAAATATTACATGTAACCCCACAATCTGAATCCAGCGAGCACTAATTAAAATAGATAAGTGAATTGGCTATTTATCAATGTTAAAGGATTTTTAAAAATTGAATTTTAAGAAAATTTCGTCCAAATTTAAA